GGGAGAATCAACTAAAACAGCAATACACATTGTGAGCATAATGGATTTATTCTCCTAAAGAAACGCCCTAAAAATATTGATGCTTTGGTTTCTTCCTTGGGGAAAACAATTAAATAAAAGTTTATTTAAAACCAAAGCCTACAATAAACGACAATCAATCGAATTATCTTAAGTGGTACAACTGTTATGTCTGCAACTGTTATTATTTTCAAATGCTATCGTAATGTAGCTCTATTGCCAAACACTACTGTTGTTATTAAAAACATACGTTACTGATATGTATATTGAATCATTCCAAAAAAACTTTATCCATACTAAAAATAGATATTTTGAGAACATTCACCACTTATTTATCTAATAATATAAGCATAAATCGTTAGATAAATATACGTCTAATCTCTCTCCCTCAGAAATTAAAGTACTCGGCCCCAAAGGGGCCTTGTACTTCAATATTTCCTCGCCAGTATTGTGTCATTTTCCTGACTTTTATGTAAATAACTATTATTTCATACTGTCCGGTAGATGTTCGATTACACTATCATTTTGAGTCCGGTAGGTGAGTTATTACAGCATCAGAGCCGGTAAGTGTCGCTAAGCAACACTTACCGGACTGTTATTTGTATACATCAAATTTGACATCTTCACACAATTAATTAAAAACCCCAACATAAATTTGGCTGTAATTCTTTATTTCAAATATTAACATTGATTGTAATTGTTGATGGTATTAAATTGAATAAGAACTGCTATTAAACATCAATATGAACAACGTTTTTTATTGTATCAGTTTCTAATGACAAACTCTAAAATTATTTATATAGCAACAAACTACTACCTTAGATCAAACATAAATGAATTATTTAGTTTAAAGATTTTAGTACAACACTTCCCCTCAAACTTTAAACTTTCATTTATGTTACAATGAAAACATCCCCAATTTTTCTCTAAGATGTTGAAATTGAATTTTTGGAATTAGCTTAGTTAAAATATCCGCAACTTGATCTTCACTTGCAACATGCACTATGTTCATCTCCTTATTTTGAACTCGTTCCCGTACAAAATGCGCCCGCACATCAATATGTTTCGATCTCTTGTGGAAACTTGGGTTTCGAGCGAGTTTTATTGCGCGTATGCTATCTACACGAAGCGTTGGTACTTTTTCTAATGGTGCAATTTCCCCAAAAAGACGATTTAACCATACAATGTCTTTAGCTGCTTCGCTGGCAGCCACATATTCCGCCTCTGTGGTAGATAAGGAAACACTTTTCTGCTTCCTGCTTGCCCAGACGATAGCACCTCCACAAAATTTAAAAACCAGACCGCTGACAGACAGTCTTGTATGAGGGTCACTTGCAAAATCTGCGTCGCTGTATGACTCTAATTCGTTAACTTGAGTGTCAACTTCTTTGTAATAAATTCCCATTTCAGCTGTGCCCTTCAAGTATTTAATGATCCTTTTTACCATTGTCCAGTGCTGTTCCCTTGGTTCTTCCAGAAACTGTGAAACATAATTTACAACAAACGTGATATCAGGACGAGTAGATACTGCTAAATACATTAAGCACCCTACTGCTTCTCGATAAGGGGCTTTTGTCAATTCAAATTTCATTTCTTCCCCTGTTAATTGACATCTTTCAATTGGCGTACTAACTGAATTTGCTTCTGTCATTTTAAATTTTTCAATTAGGTATGTCATCAACATACCGTTTTTGATTAATGAAAATTGTTCCATCGTTATGTTGATTAATTTGAATATTGAGAAAACATCCGACTGGCTCCGCTGTCATTTTGAATTCTTCTTCGAGTTTTCCAATGAATTTATTAATAGATTCTTTTGTTGTGGCAACAACCAATCCATCGTCCACATAAATAACGACTATCAGTTTTTCATTTTTGGAAATACGGTAAAATAAACATGAGTCAGCTGTACTCTCCTGTAAACCAAATGAAATTAAAACCTCCTTGAACCGTTCGTTCCAGCATCTTGGGGATTGTTTTAAACCATAAAGACTCCTCTGCAATTTACAAACACGCTTACTTCCATCTTCATAACCTTCAGGTTGATCCATGTAAATTTCTTCATCAATTTTTCCATATAAAAATGCAGTCTTGACGTCAAATTGAGCAATCTTCAATTTTTCTTTCGCTGCAATACTCAAAACTATCCGAATTGAATCAAGTAGTGCCACAGGACTAAATGTCTCATTATAATCAATACCTTCTCGCTGACTAAATCCTCTGACAACTAAACGTGCCTTAAACCGCGAAACATTCCCGTAAGAATCCCGTTTCACACGATATACCCAGCGATTAGAAATAGTTTTTCGCTTTTCCGGCAGTTCAACAATTTTCCACGTCGAATTTTCTTTCAATGATGCCATTTCTTCGTTCATGGCGGTAACCCAATTCTGCTTTTCTGCCGATTTTATGGCCTCGTTATAACTTTTTGGTTCAACAACTTCCGAAATCATTGCATATAACAATCTGTTTGGTGCTTTGAGATCGTTCCGATTTCTGAGATGTCGTTTTTCCAAGATTTCTTCCGATGCTTTACCCTCCAATTCCTTTTCTTGAGTTGGTGTGCTCGTCTCTTGATCGACAAAATCTTCTTCATGATCTTGCAAATTCCCTTGATCGATGAAATCTTCTCCTGGAAATGTTTCGGGACCTTGACTATCTGCGCTTCTTGTCTTCTCCGGAAATAATGCCAATAATTTTTCAGACTGTTCTGGTTCAAAAACAACGCATTTACTGCGAACGATGCGATTTTTCGATTTATACCAAATACGAAAACCGTCAATATTGTCAGAATATCCGACAAAAATTCCTCGTTTGCCTTTTGGGTCCCATTTATTTCTCTTTTCTTTCGGTACGTGCACGAAACAATCTGTGCCAAAAACATAGAAACGATTTAAATTCACCTTCTTCCCCGTGAAAAGTTCGTAAGGAGATTTGTTTTCAACTCCACTTGGTCCACTGCAATTCAAAATGTAAACAGCAGTATTGACCGCTTCCGCCCACAAATATTTTGGCAATTTTTTAGCCAAAAGCATTGCCAAATCAACCACTGTTCTGTTTGTTCGTTCAGCGCATCCATTTTGTTCATGCGTATAAGGATTTGACACCGCCAAATTCACCCCGTCCAACTTCAATATTTTTCGAACCTCGCTGTTGTCGAATTCTTTTCCTCCATCACACTGCAGGGTTTTCATCGATCTACCAAGTTGAGTTTTTATCATTTGTAACACCTCTACAATTTTTCCAGCAGTTTCTGATTTTTCCTTGAGGAAATAAACAAATCGCATTCTTGAATAATCACAAGTAAAACACGCAAAATATTTAGCACCACCCAACGAAGTGCATTCCATTGGTCCGCACAAATCAACATGTAGAACTGTTCCAGTCGTCGTAGCACGCTGATTTCGTGATTCAAAAGTACTCCGGTGTTGTTTTCCTTCCACGCAAGCTCCGCAAAATGT